ATAAGACCAAAAATTCTACCCCGCTTACTTCCTATTCATTAAGCACCTTCAGCATAATATTCTGACCATAATTTTTTGTCTAATTCTTTCTTTACAGCCCTGTATAATACGCTGAGACTTTAATAATGTCCTTTAGCCCGAACTTCAGTGATGGCGTCTATTCTCAACAGGGACTAGCCATCTGTGCAGGACAGGACTATAGGGTCCAAGTGTATGCTTGCGCTAATTAGAGGCTGGTAATGAGAATTTATTGACAGTAAAATTTAATACTTAACTTATTTTGGAGTGACTCGGGATTCTAACCTGGGACTACATGATAAGCAGTCGCTCTTAAGAATACTAGACAACGAGGCAGTAAAAATTGCTCTCGTATCCTTGGAATTAAAACACAGAAATAAGAAAAAACGTAGTTTATTATTTAGGTTTACGACCACTAGACAAACGAGGCGGTTACAAGTTTTGATCAAAAGTGGGGCCCAGGTTGTTAATACATTTTCAAGCGTCACTGTAGTATTTCTTTATGCATTGATATACTAGATGAGAAAATTAATTTAAAAAAAAAAAACTTGTAAACAGTTAAACTATCATGAGATTATGTATTTTTTAGTTTTTGAATTTGGGTTTTACTTTTATTGTATAATAATGGTAATGAATAACACAAGTCCAAAGTGGAAACTAAAATATAATATAGAATTTTACATGAAAAACTTCATCACCAATTTTTCACCCAAGTGAAATATTTTCTTGAAATATATTTAGGAACCAAACTGTAGTGGAGAGTAATAACTTTAATTTTAAATTTATTTTCGTTTCAGCTGTTTTCCAGAAATCGGATAAAAACATACCCGTCGAATATATGAACTCCTCCTTTTTGTAACTCGGTTAAAATGCAGTTGACGATTTAAGCGGTGCCGTGGCCAGAGAGCGCACTCTTATTGCTCAATATCTTTATTTATAAAATGCCGGTGTGCGTATGTTCGTAATTCTTCTCCCTTTAACGGCTTGACCGATTTTGATAAATTTTTTGAGGTTCTTATGGGATTGATCTTAGTAAAGCTAGGGTCCCACGGCCTGTTTTGTCACAGGTCAGACCGCGCCAGGCCGGACAACAGGCCGTGGGAACCATCGCATCCGATGAGCCCTGTGGTGGCCTATTGGCGCCCGTCCGATTCATCGGGAGTCAGTAAAGCTAGGGTCCCACGGCCTGCCAGGCGACAGGCCGCACCAGGCGTTGCCCCGCCTGTATGGGCCTGTCGCGGCCCGTACTGAGCGTTCCCACGGCGTGTGCCGGCCTGGTGCGGCCTGTCGACTGACATTCCAACATGTGAAGTGATACGGAGCGCATGGCTGCGTGTGCGGCCGCAGTGGTTTTATTCAGTGGTGAACGTTTGATAAACCAAGCAAAAAGAAAGCAGAAAAAACGACGCTGGTGGGTGTCATCATTCAACAAAAGCCGTTCTTGTTTTTATGTTGAGGTGACGAACTATTCCAAAGCGCTGGTTCATTTTCATAAAACGTTAAAAACTCGAATATAAGCTCGTTCGTCAATTCCATAATGAGCATGTACGCGCAAGCGCCACCGCAGTTGAAATGAACGATTGCAAGCGACGCAGACGCGCCTGTACAGGCCGCGACAGGCGCCGTCGCGCCGCGCCGCGCCGCGCCTTTGTTCTTACCGACTCCCGATGGATCGGACGGGCGCCAACAGGCCACCACAGGCCTCATCGCATGCGATGGTTCCCACGGCCTGTTGTCCGGCCTGGCGCGGTCTGACCTGTGACAAAACAGGCCGTGGGACCCTAGCTTTAAGATCAAAGGAGCGGCGCGGCGCGGCGCGACGGCGCCTGTCGCAGCCTGTACCGGCGCGTCTGCGTCGGTTGCAATCGTTCATTTCAACTGCGGTGGCGTTAGCGCGTACGTGCTCATGATAGAATGGACGAACGAGCTTATATTCGAGTTTTTAACTCTTTATGAAAATGAACCAGCGCTTTGGAATAGTACGCCGCCTCAACATAAAAACAAGAATGATGTCCATGATGCGTTGTTACGCATAAAAACTAATTTTAAAGATGGAACTATCCCTATCACGGAGTTAAAAAAGAAAAAAGAAAATTTAATGTCTACCTACAGAAAGGTGAAAGCTGAAATCAAGGAGTTAATGAAAACGGGTGGTGGCACAGATAATATTTATAAAACGGAATGGCCATTCTACGACATAATGTCGTATATAAACCAAGAAATACAAAAACTACGATAACTGTGAGTAATTTTATTTGTATCTAATAATAATAGTAAAAGCCTTATATCATACGAGTACATTTATTATTATTATTTTAGTAAGTAAATCTTTCTATTTTATAAGAAAATAATAGGAGTATCTATTAAAATGAACAGTATTATTTGTATTTTTTATTAATTATACTATATCGCGTATAGGGTTACCAGATGAAAAAATTAAAAATCCGGAGAAGAGGCCTGATTTCCATTTAAAAACCCTGAGATTCTTTTACAGTTTGAGAAGAAAACCTTACTTAAAAAGGTATCTTCACATATTAAGTATGATAAAACTGTTTAAGTACCTCCCTGGATAAATAAGTTTTGATTTTAATTGTGGAATTATTACCAAAGGAAAATTATTTTTAGTTTGTTTAACTTTTTATTAAAGAGATCTTCAAAATGTAAGCTGTATTATATTGAAAGTTCTAAAACTCCTGAGATTTCATGAGATTTGCAAAATCCAGCCTCAATCCTGAGAAGAGTCTAAAAATCCTAAAATCTCAGAACAAATCCTGAGATATGGTAACCCTAATCGCGTATAACCTCGCGTTACGTACAGTCAGCTACGATACAGATCAACCTACCATTTACGTACTTTATCTCACTCTTCGAAATATGAAGTTATTACAAACTTATGACACATTAAATTAATAGTTATTCTGCCACGGAACTGCGCCATCATTTACAAAGTATTCAGCAAACGTATCTCTAACGCTCTTGGCAGTAATGCAGCACTGATCTTCTTGGTAAAGATCTCAGTGGTAGTAGAGAACTCATTCCTTCTTGATCATTTCGCCAAGAGCCAGGTTGAATAACGCCTTCATGATCAATGTCAAAACTGCCAATTGGTGTATATATTTGACTTGAGTTTTTACATTTCCTTAGAAAATTGTGTAATAAGACACAAGTCATAACTATGTCCGTCACCTTGTCGGGTTGTAACAGAATAGGTTTCCTTAGTACTCTGAAAACAGAAGACAGTATTCCGAAAGCGTTTTCGACTATTCGCCGAGCTCTTGACAGACGACAGTTGAAGACTCTTTCTTTTGTTCCTTTGTTATGATTCCCAGGATATGGCTTCATCATGTTAACAGTTAGGGCGAATGCACTATCAGCTATGAAAATGTACGGCGTCTCTTCTTCTTTTAATGGTAAAAAATCTGGTTGTAGTAAATCTAATTCAGAACGACATAGTTTTTTGTAGAACTCCGTGTTTTTGTACACACCAGCATCGCTTATTCTTCCCTGGCAACCACAATCCACAAAAATGAAGTTGTAGTCAGCGTCAACCAAAGCCATAAGTACGATGCTGATTGTTCCCTTATAGTTTATGTATTCTGAACCACTGTGCATTGGACTTAGTATCACGATATGCTTTCCGTCTAATGCCCCTAGACAGTGAGGGAAGTTCCACTTGCGGTCAAATTCTTCTGCGATCTCCAACCATTTGTGTGATGACCGTGGCAAGTGTAACAAAATAGTTAGTTAATTTAGACAATAATAAGCTGCAGAAAAAAGTCTCATAATAATAAACTTCGTTCTCGATTACTTTCAGATATCAGATGAGAGTGGAGATGATAGTAAGGACGAATGTAATGAATCAAACCAAAATTTAGAAAGTAGTGAAGAACAGGATATTGCTTTCAAAACTCCAAAAATTATCCCAAAGAAAAAAGTAAACTAAATGAGACTCAAAATCGGATGGATGAAGCATACAATTATTTTAAACCATTAAGCCAAATGCCGTGAAAAGATGTATCTTCTTTGTATTGAGATTTATTAGCAGAAAAACTGAGAGGTCTACAGGAACACACACGAGAATTAGCCATGTTGGAAATAGATAAATTGGTGTTCAATCTGAAACGACAAGAAAACGAACAATTTCATCAACCAGATTATCACACTGGAGCGACTACAATCAGGCCTCTGCGATCCTTGAACCAGAGCCCCTATCTTTCGGCACAGGTTTCACAATCGTCATCATCGTACTCACCGGCCTATCGGAACCACAATTATTTACAATCATTACCACATACTTCTTTACAAGCACCATACACACAAATTATTCCTTATCCACAACACTCCCCAAGTATCCAGTCTCCACAGGATTCACCAAGTTTTCCAGCTCCATTCCACCCTTAACCATCGTCTGCATCGCAATCGCCAGCCTACCAGAGCCCCAATTTGAATTCATCACCACATACTTCCTCACAAGCACCATACACACAAATTATTCCTAATCCACAACACTTGCCAAGTACCCAGTCTCCACAGGATTCACCAAGTTTTCCAGCTCCATTCCATACTCAACCATCTCCTGCATCGCAATCGCCGGCCTACCAGAGTCCCAATTTGAATTATTCACCACATACTTCCTCACAAGCACCATACACACAAATTATTCCTAATCTACAACACTCGCCAAGTACCCAGTCTCCACAGGATTCACCAAGTTTTCCAGCTCGATTCCATCCTCAACCATCTCCTGCATCGCAATCGCAGGCCTACCATTGCCCCAATTTGCAATCATCACTACATACTTCCTCACAAGCACCATACACTGAAACTTTTCCAAATCCACAACAATCGCCAGGTAATCAGGCTTCAGATACTTGTGTAAATTGTTTTGAAATATTATAAATTTTTTTTAGTGATGGTTCACTAAAAAAATTTTACGAGTTTCAAAATGAATCTCTTTTCTTGAAATAAAAATTATTAATAACTTAACAACTTACTTTTATTTCTTCCTTTAATTCTTGTATTATGGCTTTGCAGACGTCTACAATGCATCTTGAGACTGTTTGTTTTGAAACCTTAAATAAGTATGAGAGGCTTTTGTAACTACCTCCAGTAGCCAAAAATCTAAGTGCAATAGCAAATCGTTCTTGAATTGGTATGCACTGTCTCATATTCGTATCAATCTTTGAGATATGAGGGCCAATCTTATTAAGAAGGAACGTAAAATCATCTTGAGACATCCTGCAGAAATTTTCAAATGTTCCGCTAGTTTCGCGTACAAAATCACTCAGCATATTAGTTGCATTATAACTGTAAGTAATAAAGAAAATATATTTCTATTGCTTTAAAATAAAATAATTGGGTTTAGCTAGTTAAAATCACCAACCTTGATCGGCTTTTGTTGAATGACGACACCCACCAGAGTCGTTTCCTCTGCTTTATTTTTGCTTGGTTTATCAAACGTTCACCACTGAATAAAACGACAGCGGCTGCACATGCAGCCATGCGCTCCGTATCACTTAACATGTTGGAATGTCAGTCGACAGGCGGCACCAGGCCGGCACACGCCGTGGGAACGTTCAGTACTGGCCGCGACAGGCCCATACAGGCGGGACAACGCCTAAAGCTAGGGTCCCACGGCCTGTTTTGTCACAGGTCAGACCGCGCCAGGCCGGACAACAGGCCGTGGGAACTATCGCATCCGATGAGGCCTGTGGTGGCCTGTTGGCGCCCGTCCGATCCATCGGGAGTCGGTAAGATCAAAGGCGCGGTGCGGCGCGGCGCGACGGCGCCTGTCCCGGCCTGTACGGGCGCGTCTGCGTCGGTTGCAATCGTTCATTTCAACTGCGGTAGCGCTTGCGCGTACATGCTCATGATGGAATTGACGAACGAGCTTATATTCGAGTTTTTAACTCTTTATGAAAATGAACCAGCGCTTTGAAATAGTTCGTCACCTGAACATAAAAACAAGAACGGCTTTTGTTGAATGATGACGCCCACCAGCGTCGTTTTTTCTGCTTTCTTTTTGCTTGGTTTATCAAACGTTCACCACTGAATAAAACCACCGCGGCCGCACACGCAGCCATGCGCTCCGTATCACTTCACATGTTGGAATGTCAGTCGACAGGCCGCACCAGGCCGGCACACGCCGTGGGAACGCTCAGTACGGGCCGTGACAGGCCCGTACAGGCGGGACATCGCCTGGCGCGGCCTGTCGCCTGGCAGGCCGTGGGACCCTAGCTTGACAAGGCCTGTCGCCTGGCAGGCCGTGGGACCCTAGCTTAAACCAGACATACAAATAGGGTTGTGAATTTTGTGACGTTATAATTGAATATAATAATTTTTACGGACTTTATCCCGCTTAACACTTTCACTGTCCGGTTTTGAGACACAATACGAGTAGTAAGACAATAGCAATTACCTATATGTAGTGCACGGGACAGCGAATGGGTTTAATTAACTTTTTAAAAGTTATTTGAAAATTGAAAGTTGAAGAATGTGGGTTAAGAATAGATGAATTAGTCGTCAAATACTTTGCTTAGGAGAAAGTCATATTTGAGCTGTCGACGGACGATTTGCGAATATTTTTGAAATAGAATAATGTAAACAATATGTGAAATAAGAATTGAAGAGGAGTTGTTTGAGCAAGTGGATCATCATTACAGCCCTTCACAAGTCCACTGCTGAACATAGGCCTCCCCCAAAGAATGCCACAAAACACGGTCCTGAGCCACCTGCATCCATCGACTTCCTGCATGTCTTACCAGGTCGTCACTCCATCTCGTGGGGGGACGCCCTACACTTCGCCTACCGGTACGAGGCTGCCACTCGAGAACCTTTCTTCCCCATCGGTTGTCGGTTCTTCGAGCTATATGGCCGGCCCACTGCCACTTCAGCTTACTAATCCGTTGGGCTATGTCGGTCACTCTGGTTCTACTGCGGATATCCTCATTCCTAAGTTTATCACGCAGAGAAACTCCGAGCATAGCCCTCTCCATAGCTCGCTGAGCGACCTTGAGCTTCCTCATATGGCCAGCAGTGAAGGACCACGTCTCAGTTCCGTAAGTCATCACTGGCAACACGCACTGGTTGTACAATTTCGTTTTAAGGTTTTGAGGTATGTCTGACGAGAAGATGTGTCGTAGCTTCCCGAACGCTGCCCAGCCGAGTTGAATCCGTCGATTGACCTCTCGTGGATCGTCGTCCGTGGACCATCGTCGCAAGTGGATGAGTTTATGTAATTCAAATATATATTTATCAGGGATGGTAGACATTTATAATGATATAAAGCGATAAATAAATGCAGGATACTGCGTAAATGGGAAATTAAGGTGTGCCAGAAGCAGCGTGAAAAAAAATTAAGTTGTAGAAATGCGGTCATTAAGAAGTATACTAGGGCTGAATCTGAATAATAGTATGAGAAATTGTGAGATTGACTAGGTTTACGAAAGTTCGGTGGTATGGACACTTGGAATGAATGAATGACGAAAGAGTGACGAGGCAAATGTTTGCTGCAAAAGTGATTGCATTAGTCTTTAAGGGACGCCTTTTTTATAGAATAAGGGTGACTAACGAGAACATAGTCTACCTGATTTTACTTACATTTATCGTCCATTAAGAATGAAAATGCAGATACGTTGTCACCCGCAAGGAATGAGATCGAATACCTCTTTTCTAGTAAAAAGGTGGAGAACCTTCGCGGTTCTCTCACTCACTGTCCGAAACTGGTATTCTATGAGTACGTGGTTCTGTTCCGGTCAGGCGGCCCATTTGTATTAATAATATAACTGCATGGTGGCTCTACGATATATCTTATCTTATCAGTTCATAACGTCCCACAGCTGGGGAAAGGTCTCCCCAACCTCTTTTACCTTTTGCAGTTCTGTGCTATGGAGGACCAGTCTTCCATGAAGGAGTTCAGTTTGTCCCGCCATTGTTTACGTGATCTCCCTCGGGGTCGTCTGCTATTTATAGGAGTCCACCGAGTTGTAATTTTGTCCCAAAGTTCTTCTGACACATGGCGGTCATGATCGGCCCAGTGACATTTTAGATTGGCGGATATACCGGACACATCAGTAATTTGTGTTCTGGAGCGCAGTGGTATTTCTGATGTGGTCTGTTAGTCTGACTCCAAGCATGCTGCGCTCAATTGCTCGCTGACACACCCCGAGACGAACCTCTGCTGTGTGGTATGAGACCAGGCTTGGGCACCATATATCAAGACGGGGAGAATAAAAATGTCCATGAGTTGGCGTTTAATGGATATTGGTGCGTCGCTTTTCATTAGATGTTTAAAGGCCCAATAGCTCTTCCAGGCGGTTTCTGTTCGTCGGGCGATCGCTCTTTTTTTTGCCTCGTCTGAAAAGAGACTATATTTCCCAAATAAACATACTCATGAACATATTCAACCTCCACGTCAACTATATGTATCCCTATCCTTGACATGGTTTGTCATTAACTTGGGCTTTTGCATATTCATCAGTAGTCCAACCTCCAGGCTAGCTGTTCGTAGCTCGTTGAGCATTTCTCCCAGTTTTTCGTTGGCCGAGAACGCGAAGAAAATAATGTCATCAGCAAATCTAAGATTGCTTAACCTCTTTGATCCGATCTTGATGCCTTTCTCGAGTCAACTATCAGCCAGTTTCAGAAATACAGAAAGTGGGAGTGAAGAGTTTCGGCGATATCGGGTCGCACTGTTTAACTCCTTTTAGAAAGGGAAAGAAGGTCCTGTGGTCCATTTTAATTGCAGCGGGTAAAGTGGGTGCGAATTCAACACTGCCTCGATATGACACAACAACGTATGAATTTCATCATAAGTCAGGGTATTCGTACTTATTACGCGGTAAAAGTGGTGTTTAAAGCTTTTAGCCCCTGCTTCAAACAATCCGCCAAAATGTGACGCGTATGGGGGTTAGAAATGCCATGTAATGCCTTGTTGTAAGGTTTGTCATCCCGTAAAAATTGATATAAACCCTTAACATAGTTGTCACAGCCGGTAAATTATTTTCCGCAATCTGAGTAAATGTCGGTACAAAGCCCTCTGCGAGACATGAAACGTCGTAACGCTGCCAGAAATGCTTCTGTAGACAATATTTCTAGATGATTCGCTTTAACACTCATACATACAAACACTGCGACATAACATTTAACCACCTTCGCGTTACGCACCTTATTAGCGCGCACGTAAAATGGACCCGCAAAGTCTGCTGTTTTCTTTTGAGAAACGGACGTTCCGGCTTCAATCTCACTGCCAGCAACGGGGCCATGCGTGGATGGGGATGCACAGGACGCGCATGAAAACAACGAACACGCCGATGCAGACGTTCTCTAATAACGTCACGACTTGAAATAATCCAGTATTTTTGTAAAAGTTGATACTGAGTAAATTGCGGACCTGCATGTAAGTGATTTATATGGGCGTCGTCAATTAATAAGAAAGTTAAGGGATTTTTTTTGGGTAATGTCATTTGATGTCATTTGACGGCACCGTGGCGCAGTGGCTTAGCAATCAGTTGTTGCGCTGAGGGCCGCGGGTTCGAATCCCGCACGGAACAAGTATTTGTATGGCCTACAAATAATTGTTCCGGGTCTGGATATTTGTCCTTGTGCAATTTATGTTTGTAAACTGCTTCCACGACACAGGAGAAAATCCTAGTGTGGGGGTAACGTTTTTTTTTTTAAAAAGAGAAAAAAAAGATGTTTGGACTCAAATGGCAGAAGCGATTTATGTAGCCATCCACCTACACGTAAGATCTTCATCGATAAATATATTTAGTTTTCTAAGTTGGTTAGAAGAATTTTATTCTTAGCCGTCTTAATTTTGTTACTAATATGTAACGATTTGGCTGTGGAGCAAACTCTTTTAAAGATTTTAGAATAATCTTTTACATATTCTTTAAAAGCATCTTTAAAAGATCTTTCATGGTAAGCTTAAAGTTACTCAGCGAGCAATAGAAAAGACTATGTAATTCGAAAGTTCTCTTCCGAATTCTAAAAGAATTTCTCTCTCGTCAGTGTGCAAACTCCCCCCGCCCCCCGTCCCATCCTTCCCACTCACACACTACAGACCCACACACTACAGTCATTTGGTGCAGGCCACTCAGGATCACTTTTGCACGTACAATTCCCTCACTTATATTTTCCTACGACATGTCAATCCGACATGACCGGGGAGAGATCAGGTGTAGGACCAACGGCTTCATATGCTTTTCTGCTTCGTGGCCTGACTTCGGGCTGCTACTGAGAACTTCTTTATTGAAAATCCAAAAATCGATTTTGGCCCGACATAATCACCAGTCGCGCTTAGAACCACTAGGCTAGATATACGATTTAGTAATTCTACCACTATATTTGCAGACAAGTTCTTATTTCCGATGAACAACCACGTAACTTTCACTCAATGAACTAACATTTCCCGTGTAAAATTAAGTTACTAACACTCAATGTACTACGCACCCAACGTAATATTAAGCAACTGCTATATACTATTTAAATAACCACAAACTTTCCCACGTAAAATTAACTGC